TCACTCGGTAGAGATTTTGCCTACAAACTTGGAGAAACATCCAATGATGTCAGATAGTCTTTTACTTTTGAGAGAGACCAAGGCTTCGAATTAATGATAACTCTAAGTTCTTTTTGTGAACTACTACAACTACAAGAGAGGAAAAGAACAGCAAAATCTAGAATGGACTGAGTGAGAAAACTGTGCCTCTGTAAGAATAGCAGTTGCTTGTTTTTAAACAACTGCTCTGGAACTCTCTGGCCTCCTCCCTCTGTCCCCCCGTTTTCTGTCTAAACGTGGAGTGACTGCATACGTGATCAAGCCTGATTACCAGCTTTCAAGATCTCTAGCTCGGATAAATGCCATGTGCTCCAGATGAAGAGGCTCTTAAACAGCACTTGTGAATTTCAGGTTCAATATGCAACTGAGCACAGGAACTTATTTCCCACAGAGATCTGGGTCACCAAAAACAGGGGAGCCCTTGGTCAGTACTCTGTTTTGACATATTTCTGAGCCCACAAGACGCCCATTGCTCTAATTCTATTTATTACTAACAACAGCACAGACGTGTGCAGGGCATCGTGCTTAGTCTTAGGCGTGTGCGCTACAGTGAAGTATGTAAGAAGCAAGTATGTTTGGAGCCAGTCCACCTGGTTTGAATTCCAGCTCAGTTTCTTTCTAGCTGCCCAACCCTGGCTAAATTATTTCAACTTTCTGGCCTTCAGTTTCTCTTATCTATAAAATAAGGATAAAAGTGGTTATGAGAGGAAAATGAGCTACATGATTCAAATAAAACTCCTTAGCACAGTGCCACACACAGTGCCTGCTCCATGAAAGCACATTGCTATCATCTCCCCACCCTTGTCCTGTGTTCCTTTGTCAGATTTGCCAAAGTTTCCACTCGTTCCTGATGGGCCAAACTGAACGGTCCCCAGCCGATGTTTCAGAGGGTTCCTCAGTCTCACTTTTTTAGGGGACAAGTGGAAGTAGCACAATAATAGAGAAATAAATCTAAAATAATCCACACATCAAGTCAGGACAAGGTCTGCCAGATATGACAAGGCACAGTAAAAGCAAGATGATCTTGGGGGAAGAAGACTTTGCCTCTCAAAACCTCCAAGTATTATTTAGTTAAAGACTTCAACCTTTTTATCAGCCACAAGTTTAAACCAAGAGAAAGATTCTTCAGGATTCAATTTCCTCCCTACCCTTCCTCAACTCCCCCTCCTTTGGAAGTGCTAACGCATGGCCATTGGCCAAAATGAGAGTGAAAAGGGAAGCATGGTGGAGAAAAAAGTAGTCCAGGCTGAGAAATCAAAATCTAGATTTGTGGATAAAATGTTCTGCATTTTCCAGACCTGAAGTGGAGAAATTGTAGTCTCAGGGAAGACAAGCAAATGATTGAATTGGAACCTTTATAGAATACCTTATGAGAGAAAATGGTCACCTGTAGACTGTGCAGTTATAATTTGCTAGAACTTGTTTCCTACATGTGCCTACTGTCGTATTCCACTGCATTCTCATAATAACCACACCATAGACCAGGCTGTGTTCGGCCTGCTGTGTTTCAAACTCAGTCTTGATTCATCTTTCTCCTCCTTTCCTGGCCCCCAGAAAATGCATGCGGTAGCTCCCTGAAGACATTTGCTCTGGGAAAAATACATGTTCCTTATGGCAAAGTCAACCCACGCTCTTGTGTGGATGGGTCTGTCACTTAGAAGGGGTCCACCCAGCACAATAATTAACTCACTCCAGAAACCCATGCAAAATTTAAAATATCAAGGCCAGAAGTAATCTCATCTCCATTTTAAAAAACCAATACTTTGCCCTTTTCTACTGAAAAGTCCCCTTTAACTTTTCTGAAAAGAGTCTGTTTCAAATACGCTTCTTTAAAAATTTATAACTCCCCCGAGTCCCGCCAAGAGAAAAAGTCCGCTGTGCAGAGGAGAAGGTGAAAAGAGAAGAATTCATATTTATTCATTTCTAAAAGTTAGGGTAGTAAATTAAATCTTCACATCCCTTTTGATCCTATTATATTTTTAATGGCAGAAGCTCCCAGCGAGGGCTGCAGTGGGACGCAACACAAGTTTTAACATTCAAGGCAGCAGATGAACTTGCCTCGGTTCGTGCGACTGAATGAGAAATTACCCGGCTCAGCCCTGCTCGGGGCAGTAGGTCCCTTCTCCTGCACTGGATTTGGGTCAAACAGCTACACCTCAAATCTGAAAGTATCAGCATGCTGTTTTTTCCTGGCACAGAAGCGGGTAATGATAATGATAATCAAACCTAATAATCAGAGATGCCAATTTCCTGAGCAAAGGAGCCAGCTGCCACCCTCCCAAGTCCTTTAGTTAGAGAGTGACTGCTCCAAGCAAAGTTCTGCCACATTCCCAGGGCCACAGACCTTTCAAATCAGCGTCATCTAATAAAATCATCCTATAAAATCAATTAGGAAAGAATCTCGTTCTTCTCTTCCCTGGCCTCTTTTGTTCCTATGTATTTATACAATAAATCTACCCCTTAGTCCTATTAGGAAACTGGAAATGCCTCCTTGAAGCATTTTCTATACTCTGGCTCATCTAAATGACAATGTTTGCATTAAAAAGGAATGTTTGTATTAAAAAATTAATGAAGTTGTATGAGAAGGTTAAAAATATTTGTAAAAGGCGGTGGGGTGGGGCTCATTCTCTATTTCCCCAACCAACATGATTTCCTCGGCCATTTCCACGGCCCCGGAATCTAGAAGGGGCAAGACAGCCTACTCCCTAAGGAATCGGATAGTTCCCTGAGGGCAAAAGGAGGAAGAAAAAATCCCACACAGCAGAGACCATGACAAAGATAACCACGAGGAATGTAAACAAAATATTATTACAAGCAGCTCACTCACCACCTCACCCTCAACAACTCTCTCCTTCAGAAGCAAAAGTAACACCACACAAATGGTGTGTTTTCAAGAAAAGTCGAGCTATTTGGGAAGAAGCCATGAAAAGGAAGATCTCTCCCCATTTGTCTCACTTTTACAATCTCAAGGCTTGAGATGACCGTACTTTTAAAATAGAACCGGGTCCACTGACTAATTTAAATTTGGGGAACGTGAAGTTGAGCCCCGTGTTGGTTAAGTATCTTCCCACAGTGACTTGATCTCAGTGCTGAGCCTTGTTTACCTGAGCTTTTGAAAGCCTAACACCCAGGCTCTTTCGACAGGACGCCTTGAAATAAATAAAATAAACGCACTGCAAACGCAAACGGCAATAAGCCAGACTCATGCCAAAACACACATGTGCACATTTCACAGAAGAATGAAAAGACATTTCTACAAGGAACAATCTCCGTGGGGAACATGAGCCAGAGCACTTGCCTGCCAAGGGACACGTGCTCCGGAGCGCCCGCGATTCCCTGAGCAAAACCGGCCGGTAGGGACTACTTCAACAGGCAAAACCCACCAGCTCTTCAGAGGAGCAGATCACCAGGCCAGGACAACCACCTCGAGGAACTTTGGTGAAATCTCTCTAAGGACTTCCAAAAGTTACTCCGTGCACTTGGGTGGGGAAGCTGACACCTACCCTCAATCACTCTGCTCCTCTAGAATAGAATTCATGCCTTGCACTGAAAGAGGAATCGAATGCACCACTGGTACCTGGTGCCACTGCCAGAATACATTTATATCACTTTCTGCCAATCATTCAGAGCCCGACGTTGATATTCTCTTAATAAGACAAGGAGGGGCGTTAAGAGGCTGGTCATGCACCTCCCCATGTGCAAGGCTAAACGCAGGTTTTCTTGTTTGTTCTGTGTGAGACCCTGGGCAGTTGGCCTGGTGTCTCAGGCTCCGTTAAAGTGGACCCACTCCCCACAAGTCACAGCCCAGGGAGACTTGGAAAGGAGTGGCGGGGCATCTGTTTCTGCTAAACGCAATGCCCTCTGCAGGTTAATCCGCGGCATGAGGACTCCTAGGCAAAGGTTAGCCTCTCCCAGTATCTGAGGGACTGTCTGTTTGGGGCTTTAAATGTTCATTGAGAAACCTCCAAGCTTGCCAGGGCTCCTGGCTGGACTGTCTTAAGTCTTCAGACGGGCTCGGCCTCCAATGGTGCTATATTTTTACCACTTAAACACTTTTCAAAGTTTACTATGAAACAATGTGGCTCTGAGCCTGCCAAAAGTTTAAGTGCAGAATTCAGTGGATTTGGGTTTTATCTGGCAGAGTAGCTGCTGTCGCTCTTGAGATATTTGCCAACAGAAGGCAGTCATCAAACCTTGCAGCCAGGGCAGCCCCAGGGCCCAGAGTGTCTCTGAATGAGCTCCTCTGGGCAAACGCCCCTCTTTCTCTCTGTGACCACGTCCCCCAACTCCCTAGTTTGAGAATCCATATCAAAGGTAGTTTGGCATTTCCAGAGGCAGCAGTAAAAAACTTTTGATGGGATGACCCGGGACATAACTATTCCTGGCCGAACTTAACTTTTGATTTTCAAATATCTGGAGGAGCTTGGATTCAGGGGAGATAAAGACAGAGCGCCAGTGAATAGGGAAAAATAAAATAAAATAAGTAGCATGCCATGACCAAGCCAAACCGAGCTTGATATTTCCAAATTATATTGGCAAATGGATGCTTTCACAAAGCATTTGTTCTATCTGTCCTGGAGACAAAAAGAAAAAAAAAAAAATCTGGATTCAAAAACCCTAACCTCAGACCAGTAAATTGTATCAATGGAATGCAACCTAAAATTGCCAGTCAGAAAGTCCAACGTTGTGTACATATATATACATCTCAACACGCACACAAATACCCCCAAGCCAAGAGTTGTACCTCCTAAATGCCCGCGTTAGTCAATTCCATCATCCCCCTCATCCCTGCCCGGTGCCTGGCTCTGGGTTAAGTCGACTGCATGATGTCCCCGTAGACGCGTCTTACAGGATCATTTTGGGCAGATGCCCCCGCAAGTGGGCAGAGACACCACCTAGGCTCCTCCAGCCCGGGCACCTCCTCCTCCAGGCTGGCCCCCGGCCTCCCGGGTGCCCCTTACCTGCAGGCGCTCCGTGGCCGGCTGCCACATCTTTCAGCCCCGGGGTTTGGCAGAAGAGACGCTGGCTAGACTCTGTCGATCGCGCCAGGGGGCGAGGGGCTGCGGTCCCGATTCACATCTGGGGTGGGTGGCCGCGGGATGTGCGTCCTGGCGCCGGCCACCACCGCCGGGTGGGCACCGGGGGCTGCGAGCAGGAGGCGGCGGCGCGGGGCTCCGCTGCCGGCAACTTGTGGGCACGGCGGCGCGCCGGCTGTCCTGGCGCAGCTGCGAGAGGACTGCGCAGCTCCGCCCGGCCCGGCGAGCGCACGGCGGCGGCAGCGGCGGCCGCTCCCTCCTCCTCCTCCTCCCCCGCCGCCGCCGCCCGGACCTGCGCGCTCTGAGCATGCCCGGGGCGGGCGCCCGCCGGGGGCCGCGGGGGCGCGGGGCGCAGCGCGGCAGCCCCCAGATCGCAGCGAGGGGTGGGTGGGAAGGCCAGAAGCCCTGGCGGCGCTGGTCCCCGCGGAAACCCCCATTGGGATGGGGGTCTGGGAGAGGGGGCAGACTGGCTGAGGAGGGAAGGTGCTGGAGACGGGGTGAGGGGGCCCTTCCCAAAGAAAGAAACCGTAGCCCCTGGGGGTCCCGTGTTTGCATCTAGCAAAGATCTCTGAAGGGCTTGTGCTGTGCCTGGCACCGTGCTGGGGACAAACTCCCATTCATGCCTCCCACCCACTTAACTGAGCACCTAGTATGCTCTAGTGCCTATGCTGGGCGCGGTGCGGAGGCCGCAGCAGCGCAGAATAGAAGAGCATGTTCCTCCTCTCCCGAGCTTACATTCTGCATGGGTAGACAGTCGTGACTGAGAAAACAGGAGCCTGTGCTGTATCGGATGATGGTTGGGAAGAAAATAAAACAGGGCTGATGTGCAGAGAAGGGGAGAGGAGAGATTCTTAGGTAAGGGCCCCAGGGAATGTCTGGGGTACGACCCAAAAGGTGAATGAGATTGGCCAAGTGGGGCTGGCGTGCCAGCAGAGGAGTCAGAGCCTATACAAGGGTGAGGAAGGCAGCACGTGCCCCCCATCATTTACTCACCTTCACCCCGAGATCTGCCAGGTGCTGCAGGAGGCTCTGAAAACCCAAAGGAAAGCCACTCTGGGCACCTGGCCACCGTGGAGTAAGTACCTTTTCTAAATACTCTGGCTCTTCCCATCCTCTTGACAACTTAGCAAGAGAAGTATTGATATTTCCACCGTGTGGATTAAACAGATGAGATTAGAGGGGTTAGGCCACTTGTCCAGGTCACACAGTCAGTGAGTGGCTCACAGAGTGCACACTCAGGTGACTCGGGGCAGGAGGTCTTGCCCTGCACCTGGCACTGCTCTGACAGTGGAAACGCAGAGGAAAGCACGACTGGCCGGGGCTGGGAACCAAGGGGCGTCGGCAGGATGAGATGCAAGCTGAGTCTGGTGGGCTGATGAAGAGTGGGAGGGAAGAGCATGGTGGGAAGAGCTTGCCAGACAGAAGGACAGGAGAGGTGGGCAGGGGAACACGGTCTTTGTAGCGAGCCCAAGGCTCCTGAAAGGTGGGGTCCCCAGAGCCTAGGGGCTGGAAAGAGAAGGGCCCTGAGAGCATTTCATGCTAGGGTGTCTGACCAGCCTGGGTCCTGAGCTACCCGTGCAATGCCAAAACACACACCCATATCTGGGAGGAGGATCTGTCCATTTTCCTCATCCCACATGGGTACAGTGATTTCCAGATACGGAAGCAGTCCAGAATCTGAGGGGCTCCTAGCTCCTCAGCCCCTCCCAGCAACTCTCCAAGGGACAGGAGCCCCCATTTCCTAAGGCTCGGGGGCACACAGAGGGGAGTCACAGTGGCATTTCAGATCTGGGGCTTTAGGCAGTTCCTTCTGGGTCCATATATTGGTGCCACCCACCCAGGCAGGCCTAGGACCTCAGTGCCCCCAAGATTTTCTGGCAAAGCCCCAGTAGTGCCTCTGAAGGGTTGGTCTCTATCTCCCCAGATCTCCCACTTCTGCCTGAAAACCACACGGACCTTCTCAGCTCTTTCTCCAGTCCCTGCTACTCACTCTGGACCTATCAATAAATCCCTTCTCATGAGGTGCTGGTGTGTCAGCCCTGCGTGGAAATGCACCTCAGATGTCTGGTGGTGTGGTCTCTTTTTAGAGATATTTTTCCTTTTCCAATAACTCATCCTACATGCTTCCCACACCTACAAAACTCCTAATAAAACTAATAGACCTTCCCAGTCCCCTAGTTCTCTTGTATCAAATCCCAAAGTAGAAAGAGATGCACTTCATTGCAAAAATCTACAAAATCCAAATGTGCGTATTAAACCGCTCAGGAAGCTAAAACAGGAATATTCAGTTGCCAGGGATGTCTTCAGATGTGAGCTTTGAAACCATCCTTAGTTGCAGATGCTTCCGCGGAAAAGTGATTTTGTTTTAAATAGCAGTGAAATGAGATAACAGCCTAAATTCAAATCGCATTAGAGCGTTAAATCCTGTCTTCTCACCTCCAAATGTAATTAATTGTTATGACTCAGTAATACAGCTCTTAGTTCAGAGCACAGTGCTATTTAAAGAGAAAAGGCTTTGGCTCTGCAGAGATTGCTTTCAGTTACTGTTCCCACTTTGCAAACAGATTTGGAAGTCGAGAATGTCTAAACTCAAATGGCACTCCGATCTTAATTACCTTTATGCCACTATTCGGCAAGCGAGAGGAAAGGAGGGGGAAGGGGCAGGTGGAGGCTGGTAGGAGGTGACAAAAAGGGATGGGACAGCCTCCCACCCATATGTTTTGCTCCCTCTCAAGGCTTCCCATTCAGGAAGCATCTGCGATGGAGGGTGAATGAAACAGAGACATCTACTGGCTAGAGATGGGACCTGCATTCTGATCTCTCCCGGCCCTGTTCTGTGACATGGGCACCTCACCCGTCCTGGTGAGTCTGAAAATGCTGCTTTACCATGTCAACAGGCTCCAAGGAACCACTCTTAAAATAAACGGAAGGTATCTTGATGCAATGAACAGAAATATTAGATATATAAGCACGTGCCTAATTTCACGTGCTTAGTCTCCTACAATTCTCTAGGCAGGTTTAATCTTGTTAATAAATATAATACCATTTCCAGGAAAATGACAAAAATCAAAAAAGTTTGATGAGGCCCAGATGAGTGACAAACATAACATTTGGTCCAGAAAAATAATTATAACCATCCCTAGAAATTACATAAATCCGGTAATGTAGTGCATGATTCTGAACCCTAACATAAGCAACCTCGATGTCCAAATCAGGGTAGTGGTTAATTAAATCATGGTGTAGCATATGAAGGAAATGTTAGAATATTATGCAGCCATTAAAGAGGATAATTAGGAAGTTTTTTGCAGCTGAAAAAAGGCTTCTGATACAATTATAATTCTTTAAGTAGGCTAAAATGTGTTTAATTTGAATAGATGTATGAAATATATATTTATCTCAATAAATATTGGCAAGGAGCTAGGACAATGAGGAGATCCAAGTTGAATCCTGGCCTTTGGACTGTCTATCTAGATGACAACTTCTCACAAGTCATTTCCCTTGCTGAACCTCAGATTTTTTTTTATCTGTAAGTAGGGCGATGTCACCTAATGCTTAGGATTACTGGGAGCAGTGAATGAGCTAACATGCACAGCATGCCTGCCACATGGTAGGTGTGTGGGAAGCATTTGCTCTCATTCCCATTTGTATGTTTCTCTCTCTTTTTTTAATCATTGAAATGGTCAAATTCTCACACAGTGGCCCATGCTTCCTGTGGCTAAGTCATTTGGAATATTTATGGGTTTCAATTATTTTATTTAGTCGGTCAAATAAAAGTGACAACCCATATTAAAGTTTACTTACAATTCTAATTTAAGCAGATGGCCAACAAAAATTATTCTGGTTGTATATTTAGCAGAGTGAGCGTTAGATAGTCCTTCTTATGGCATCATTAACCTTATTTCGAAATTGCCAGAACAGCTGTAGATGAGCAATATAGAAAAGTAAGTCTGAAAATTCATTAAACTATTCAAACCTCCCTGTAGTAACAGAGCTACTGGCTTTTGTCCCCACATAGTGATAGAATTTGGTGGGGGGAGAGGATATTAACATGACCCTTTTCCTCCCTTAAAAGGAAACAGTTGAACTTTGCAAACTATCTATAAAGGGCAGATGGTGCAGGACTGGTTCATACATGCATTGTGACTCTCTTACTCATGACTTCCTCACACCCTCACAGCCTTACACATGTGATAGATTATTTTCAAAGATGTCGGCAAAAATCTCCCCTCCTCCGGGGAGTCTACCTCCTTTGTGCTATAACCTGCTTGCTTCTCCCATGAGATGGAATCTGTCTCCACTCCTTAAATCTGTGCCAGATTTGCAACTTACTGACCAATACAGTGCACCAGATGTGACTCAATGGACCTTCTCAACTTGGGCCACAAAAGACCCTGCAGCTTCTGTTCTCATCCTTTTGGAACCTGGGATCAGCCAGTGAAGAAGCCTCCTTAAGATAAAAGCCACAGAGAGGGAAGCCAGGACAAGAGTTAGCACCACAGCCAGACACGCCAGTGCACTCATCTCAGAACACCCAGCTCAAGCCACCAGAGGACAAGCAGCCACATGGGTGATGCCAGGTGTGACCAGCACAAGAGCCACCCAGCCATCTCAGACCCACCCAAACTGCAGACCCACAGAATCGTGAGCATATGGCAAGGTTGTTGTTTTAACCCTTAAGTGTTGGGATGCCTTTTTAGGTAGTGGTAGGTAACTGATAGAGAGAACATCGCTAATAAGTCTCAGTCTTTCCCACTAAACCTCACACCTTTCTCAACGTTTCCTAACAACCAATTTACCAGGGTTGGCGCTAAAATGAAGCCTACTCGCGTAACATAAAGACTTCTTTTCTTTTCTTTTCTTTTCTTTTTTTTTTTTTTTTGCCTTATTTCTGCTTTTGCAATTCCCTGATCCACACCTCCATTCTAGTTGCAGATTGTGTGGGCCGTATTTCCGCGTCACACCAGTTAAGTTTTCCAGCAAGTCCCTCTAAAAGGAAGGTGGGGAGTGGGCTGGGCTCCAGCCACGTAGTGACCTTGGTGAATATTTTTTCTGGCACAATTTGCAATAAACATGAAGTCATCCGCTCTTTGACAGCACTTCTCACCCTCCGTGAGACACTGTCTATGTAAACAACAATCTGCCCATCCTTTTGGATGGGTAAATATACTTCCTGTTTCAGTTAGAGTCTGGGGTGGGTGGGCAGTGGAATGGAGAGTGGTACTTAGATCTACTTTCGCCACACCTAGACCAGAAAGGG